TTTTGTTCTTGATGATGCTTAATTACTTTCATTATGGTAGCTTTTTGTTCTTGATGCTTAAGTTTTACTTTCATTATGGTAGCTTAAAAACTTTCATTATAGTAGCTTAAAAAATAAAAGAAGGGTGAGATGTGGGGAGCAGCTATAGGGTTAAGTCTCGGACTGACCAATTTCCTTTCAATGTGCACAAATCTGTGCACTGGGCCACTAGTCCTATATAATAAAAGCCTAATATGCAAATTGTCCCCTCTACTGGGAGTTCAACCCGGAGTTCAACTACTTGCTATAACATGCACTGACCACCAGGGGGTGGTGCGGAACATGGCGGGTGTCGGTGATGCGTCGCTGGCAGCAGGTGACAGTGGAGGTGCTGTCAGCCCCAACGGGCCCCAAGGAGAGCGGGACCACAGCAGGATGGTGGAGCAGGTGAGTGCCACACCAATCGCCCCGCAGACAGCAACCAGAGGCGGCGGCGGGTGGCAGGACTGCTGTCCAGCTCCCAGGCTCTGAGGGACCTGGGTGGGGGCATGATCACCCCAGTGATCAACCCGCAGATGGCAACCAGTGGCAGCAGTGGTGGGGGGGTGGGGCCGCTGCCTGGATCCCAAGCACAGAGGGAACCAGGCGGGTGCCCAATCGCCCTGCTGATCGCTTCGCAGACAGTGACCAGTGGCGGCTCCGACACTTCCATTACAGAGAAAGGGCGAATAGCAATATTAAAATATTTCTTCTAATTATTTTCCTTTCAATGTGCACAAATCCGTGCAGTGGGCCACTAGTATGTCAATAACACAATAACTATGAGTGGATTAAGCCAGGAGTTGGCAACATTTTTTTGTAAAGGATCAGATAAATATTTTAGGTGTTGTGGGCCACATACAGTTTCTGCATTTGTCCTTAAAAACCTGAAAATCATTCTTAGCTTGCAAGTCATACAAAAACAGATTTCAGGTCAGATTTGGCCTATGCGAGTAGTTAGTCAATACTCTGGACTGAACTTTTAACAGACAAAAATGTTCAGATTGAAGTTTTTAGGCCAGCTATATAGTTCTCACAATAGAAGAGCCGAAAAAACATAAAAGGTGTATAATAAAGGGTGGGGAAAGAAACACCAATGCATCTATTAACCAAAAGAAAATCAGCTGGCAGTCCTGGTGACAAGGGTCATTGTTGAGTGCTAGCTCTGGGGCTGTCTCTTTTGGCTTGCCTGTGGATAAGTGGAATTTTCTTCTCTGACTGGTGTGGCTCCGTTGGTTGGAGTGTTGTCCTGTGCATCAGTGTCATGGGTTTGATTCCTGGTTTGGATATATCTTTCTCACATTCTCTCTCTTTCTCTCTCTCCCCTCCCTCTCCCCTTCCTCCCCCTCCCTCCTCTGTTCCTCCCTCTCTGGAGTCAATAAATAAAGTAGAATTTTCTGCCATGGGCAGAAAAATAATCCCTCAAGCAGAAAGCACAGGTTTTTGCAGCAAGCTGTCTTTTCAGGTAGAGAGATGAGTGCATTCTGTTACACTAGTGCAACAATATAAATATAAGTAAAAATTGAATGTAGGACAAAGGGCACTAATAGGAGTAAAATGGGAAATTACATAATCATAGAGGAATAATCAACCAGAAATGCCAAAGTATGAATTATCTCAAGGCAGCATGGAAATACGAAAGCAAAAATTGACAGAATTATAAGGATAAGTTGACAAATCTACAATCATAGTTGAAGATTTTAATAAACTTCTATTAGAACTTAACAGATCAAGCAAACAAAAATTAGTAAGGAAAATAGAATATATGGTGGGAAATATTAAATTGTGATAACCCATAAGAATGATAATGTGAAAAAAAGAAACCACAACATTTCTGACTGAAATGGGTTACACTGGGCTAAAATCAAGGTGTTGGCAGGGCTGTGCTTCTTTGGGGGGCTCTAGGGGAAAATCCATTTATTTACCTTTCTCATTTTCTAGAGGCCTCATGCATTCCTTGGCTAGTGGCCCTTTCCATCTTCAAAGCCAGTTGCATGGTACCTTCAAAACTCTGACTCTCTTGCCTTTTTCATAGCTAAAAGGGCCCTTGTGATTATATTGGGTCCACTTGGATAATCAAGATAATCTCCTTATCACAAAATTCTTAATGTAATCATATCTGCCAAGTCCTTTTACCATGTAAGGTAACAAATCCACTGATTCCAGATTCCAGGATAAGCACTTGGACATCTTGGGGTGAGGGGGGAGGGCTTGTGTGGCATCATTCCACCTACCATACAGTCTATATAAAGTTTTGCCTTATGAATATTAGACACAAAGAGGCACATTTCCAAGGCTGATTTAGATTCAGACACTTTTTATACCACATTCTTTCTCCAGATGGTTTATTGGAGTTCTGTTTTAGTGCCGTAGTATAAATTTCAAAATAAAGATTAGACTAATTGTTAAATGTAACCAACCATA